CGGGGGGGGGGGGGGGGGGGCACACCCTACGTTTATACAAAATTGGTTCCCCTATACCCAAGGATGCTCCACACCAAAATTGGACCAAATCCTTTCATTCCTACAGAAGAAGAAGGATTTTAAAGAATGATTTGCTATGTTTCCCCTATTGGGCCCCGCCCCTCAGGCCCCTGAGGGGCCAGACCAACAGTTTATACCAAATAGGTTTCCCCTTACCCAAGGATGCTTCAGACCAAATATGGAATAAATCCTTTCATTCCTACAAAAGAAGAAGGATTTTAAAGAATTTGCTATGTTTCCCCTATTGGACCAGCCCCTCAGGCCCCTAGGGGGCTAGACCCACAGTTTATACAAAATAGACTCCCCCTTACCCAAGGATGCTTCAGACTAAATATGGAACAAATCCTTTCATTTCTACAAAAGAAGAAGGATTTTAAAGAATTTGCTATGTTTCCCCTTTTGGGCCCCGCCCCTCAGCCCCCAGGGGGGCCAGACCCACCATTTATACAAAATTTGTTCCCCTTCCCCCAAGGATGCTTTTGACCAAATTTGGTCAAAATATATGTGGTCGTTCAGGACAAGTAGCGTTTTAAATGAAAGGTTGACGGATGGACGAAGGACGGACGAAGGACCAGGTGAGCTAAAAACTGTGAAATTAATGTGGCATAAACAAACAATGAAAATATGCATTCAAAAGTTATTTTTCCAGCACGACTAAAGCTTTGATAAATTTATTTTTGAAATGAAAAGTATACCTTGCAGGACATTTATGATCAAAAGAAATAGAGACATAAAATAATTAAAAAAAGATTGACAATGGAGTCCAGAGACTGAGAGTAAAAAATCATCTGGACTAGACCGGGATTTAAACCATGGACTTGAGATTGTTATACCTTGTACTATCACTCTAACAGACTGAGTTACCTGGTTGTTATACATTGTACTATCACACTAACAGACTGAGTTACCTGGTTGTTATACCCTGTACTATCACTCTAACAGACTGAGATACCTGGGTGTTATACATTGTACTATCACCCTAACAGACCGAGTTACCTGGTTGTTATACCTTGTACTATCACCCTAACAGACTGAGTTACCTGGTTGTTATGCCTTGTACTATCACTCTAACAGACTGAGATACCTGGGTGTTATACATTGTACTATCACCCTAACAGACCGAGTTACCTGGTTGTTATACCTTGTACTACCACTCTAACAGACTGAGTTCCCTGGTTGTTATACATTGTACTATCACTCTAACATACTGAGTTTCCTGGTTGTTATACATTGTACTATCACCCTAACAGACCGAGTTACCTGGTTGTTATACCTTGTACTATCACCCTAAAAGACTGAGTTACCTGGTTGTTATACCTTGTACTACCACTCTAACAGACTGAGTTCCCTGGTTGTTATACATTGTACTATCACTCTAGCATACTGAGTTACCTGGTTGTTATACATTGTACCATCACTCTAACAGACTGAGTCACCTGGTTGTTATACATTGTACTATCACTCTAACATACTGAGTTTCCTGGTTGTTATACATTGTACCATCACTCTAACAGACTGAGTCACCTGGTTGTTATACATTGTACTATCACCCTAACAGACCGAGTTACCTGGTTGTTATACCTTGTACTATCACCCAAACAGACTGAGTTACCTGGTTGTTATACCTTGTACTATCACTCGAACAGACTGAGTTACCTGGTTGTTATACCTTTTACTATCACCCTAACAGACTGAGTTTCCTGGTTGTTATACATTGTACTATCACCCTATCAGACTGAGTTACCTGGTTGTTATACCTTTTACTATCACCCTAACAGACTGAGTTTCCTGGTTGTTATACATTGTACTATCACTCTAACATACTGAGTTTCCTGGTTGTTATACATTGTACTATCACTCTAACATACTGAGTTTCCTGGTTGTTATACATTGTACTATCACTCTAACATACTGAGTTTCCTGGTTGTTATACATTGTACTATCACTCTAACATACTGAGTTTCCTGGTTGTTATACATTGTACTATCACTCTAGCATACTGAGTTACCTGGTTGTTATACATTGTACCATCACTCTAACAGACTGAGTCACCTGGTTGTTATACATTGTACTATCACCCTAACAGACCGAGTTACCTGGTTGTTATACCTTGTACTATCACTCTAACAGACTGAGATACCTGGGTGTTATACATTGTACTATCACCCTAACAGACTGCCAGCTACCTGGTCTGTGGAAGGGTTCTGCCCCAACTGTGCTACAGTTATATCTTAAATGAAATTAAGGGGAGGTAACTTTTAATATGAAAAAAACAACAGTGCAGTGGGACAGGGATCCTTAAGCCCACTTCTCTTTTGAAATAACTTAACAATGCTTATCTTGCTCCTACATTATAACATGACTGGGTAATATAAGGACAACGCTCCTGGACTTAAACTTACTGCTGGTAATCTATTGTATCCAGATACATGTAAGTGTTTGTGTTAATTATGAGTTTGAATATGTTCAGGTACCCAGGAGACAAACATTGTGTGCGTGCTAAAGACGACCCAGGTCCATGTTACTGATGATAATTGCGATGTTTCACTACGCCCGCCAAAACAGACCGTCAGTTGTAACAAGTCGCCCTGTCCTCCACAGTAAGTTTGTTTTTATTCTGAATGCAATTAACCAAATTCTAAAGGGATGAATTGATTGGAGATTGAAGAAAACAAATGGAAACCACCTATTTAACATCAACAGGACACTTCTAGAGAGTAATTAACAATGCACCCTATCTGAAGGTAAACTGGATTATATTCAAAGCAACTTAAAGAAAACACCCTTTGATGGTGGACAGAAGTTTCCTTCTAAGTAATAACCAAGAAACCCTCTCTTTTATGTTAACTGAAATTCTCCCCTGATTAATTACCAGGAAACACCCTCTTGGGGTTAACTGGAATTCTCCCCTGATTAATTACCAGAAAACCCCCTCTTGGGGTTAACTGAAATTCTTCCCTGATTAATTACCAGGAAACCCCCTCTTGGGGTTTACTTGAATCCCCTATTGAGTAAACACCACAAAACACCCTCTTGGGGTTAACTCAGAACTTCTCCCCTGTGTAAGTACCAAGAAAACCTATCGGAGGATTAACTTGACTTACCCTCTGAGAAATTAAAAGAAAACCACTAAGGGTTGACTGGAAATCACATTCTATCATTATAGTATTGGTTGTCTTGTGATAATTTAGCAAATGAGTAAGTTTTCTCGTGACCGTGTGAAATAGCGATTTTCTTAACAAGAATTCCACAAGCTATTATAAGAGGAGGATGAGTATCAGCTTATGTAATTTATAAAAAAAAAATATATAAAAATGTTTTCCCATGAGGAAATCTTTTGTGTTCATCACTCTACTTAATGTCCGTTACAATTTGAGTTACGAGCCCGTGTGAAAGTAATTATATCGTCGCTATCAAGTCTTTCAGTCCGTATTTATCGGATGTTATTTTTTGTTTAAAATGCATGTTGAAACCATTTATCGTAAAAAAATGCAAGACAGTGACACGAAAATTGCCTTTATTACCTGAATTTGTAATTGTAGCATCACTTTCCTAAATTATAGACATTATAACTGTTAAACCTAGATATTTAATGCTAAATGACGAGATAGGCGAGTTTTAAATGTATTACCTGAAACTTTATCTTACCTGTAACACATTCGTTAAGCCACCCGCTCAGGTAACAGAAACAAAATCGGTTGACGCGGCACTGTTTACGTAAACATCAGTGATGGGTATGAGAAATGACAATAGTGCTATACCTGCTTTACCTGTGTAACACCTGGATTTTAACATGTTGACAAGATGATGGGGAGGCGGGGAAGTTTAAACATGGCGGTTTGACACCAGGTTTCTCATTCGACGACAGATTTCCTAAAGTACAAGCAACCTTGGTTTTTACCTTGTCTTATGGAACACAAATTACATGGATTAGCATGGATTTATGCACATTTTACACAAGAATGTGCCGCCTTCCTGTAATGTAATAGTCTGTACACTACAGAGCCACTTATTGGTCACACAATTTAAAAGATTTACTTCTGTCATCTAATTTAGCATTAAAAGATTTACTTCTGCTTTCTAATTCAGCGTGTGTCTCTCAGAGACTGTAAACTTATCCAGTAATTGAAAATTGATGTGCCTGTGTATTTTTTTCTTACTAGTATTTTACAGGTAACAAACTTTCGTTTAAATAGATTATAATTTCATTGAGTCGCACGACCACACACCTGTGTTAACTTGTGTGACAGGTGAAAAATATTCATTTAAAAAGTAAATATCATTGCAGTAGTCAGCTGAGTGATGGGACCACACCAAAGGACAATGTAACAAGGAATATCTCTAGAAACATTTTTTTTTTTTAAATATTAAAAAAGACACAAGGTAGATGATAATTAATATCTAAAATGAAACCTTTAAAATTAGTGAATTTGTGATTATATGAAAAGCTTTGTTAATTTAAGTGAATATCTTAAAATTTAGACTGACAAATGTATAAGGTGAGAGGTCCAAACTACAATGCTATCAGTGACATTCCAAAATGATTGCCTCTTTCATGTCTTAAATATTTTCATTTTACAGTAGTTGGTTGTCGTTTGCATTATCTCAATTTGCAACTGTAAAGAAATGGTGATAAATATACATTGGCTCTTATTACACTGATAAGGTCTGAGTGACATACACATATTTTAAAGAAACAACAGCTGCTAGAGAGAACCTTGTGATATTAATTTTTTGCTCAATTAATAGAATTCTTGCAAAAAAATCATTTTTTTGTGTATATTTGTTTAAGGAAAAAACAGAAGTTTACTCTTAAGCAGCTGTTGTCAGCATTTTTAAAAATGACATCAGTGCCTTCTTCCCGACATAAACACTCTCCATCCTGGTCTACTGCGATCTAAACATTAGTTATTTAAATGCTGAAGTTACGACTGTTTACCAGGTTTTAAGAAAAAGAGCAAACAAATTCTCACTTAACCCATTCACCCCTAAAGTTACATTTGAACCTTACCAAATCAAAGACTGGGTAAGTCCATTTTAAAAATATAGGGGTGAATGAGTTAAGGAACGTTTCAGACTGGTATGCTGCCTCTCAACACAGCAATGTGTTTTGTCACTCCTTTCTGTCCTATTTTCAAACACCCTGAATGTCAATTACGACCACTGTGCTATACAGAATTACATATATATTGTGTAGTACATATTTTATCAATGCCATTCAAGCCAATAATTTTGAAGCACCATCACTACTTCTTTATGATTGAAATTTTAGTGAATGCAAAAGATTGCCAAGTAATTGCTGACAAATTCAACTAAAAACTCAGCATTGTGGAATTGACATAATTAATTAAGATTTAACTAACTGTTCAATGAAACTTTTATGGAACCTTACACAAAACTAATCAGTAGGAGATTTCCAAATGCATTGAAATTCAAAATTAAAAAGTATAGGAATTCGAAATTGCCACCTAAAGATCTAGACAAGAAATACGTAAAGATATATTTATAAATCTTTTTGATAGCTCTTAAAAATTTGCATCTTGAAAATGCTATCATTAAAAACTTGTCAATTACATTAATTACCACTTGTAGTCAGATTTTGAACTACGGGGCCCTGGTTTTCTTAGTTATTGGGAATTATTTTTGTCATGAACAATTTAAAGAGTTTACAAAAACAGAAAACTACATGTAGGAAATCTTATTTTCCCTAATGTGAATTAATTCAATTGATGCATTTTGAAAAGAATTATTTTTTTACATTCATAATTCAGATTCACTATCTGATCATTTTGTGTACGAGTTTATGTGACCTCCTTTGATTTTGTAGATGGGAATTACACCCCTGGTCGGTGTGTTCAGTGACGTGCGGTCGGGGTACACAGTCCAGGCGGGTGGAGTGTAAGAGACGGATCTCGGGAGAGGAACAGCTCAGTGTTTCTGCTTCCCTCTGTGACGCTGGAGAAAAACCTGCTATCGTACAGCAGTGTGAAACTGACCCGTGTACTCGGTGGCAAACGGGGGACTGGGGCCAGGTAGATAGCCGGTTTACATTGGGGATAAATGTGCATGTTAACACATATTAATGAACGGAATGCTGTATAGTCACTCTTAGGAGATATGACAATGTTTTATATCGAAATTTTTGCCATATATTTCGACACAGGCCTCATTAAAGGCATTTAGTGTTTCAATAATTTTGTGGAGACTGTGTCAAAGTGCAGAGATTTACAAAATTTAGAAACATTGCTTAATACTAGGAGTTTTTGTGCAACACAACTTATCTGTAGAGACACACTCTATTACCAGTTTTGTTAATATTGTTACATTCTTGTAATTATGCCTATTTCATTCCATTTTGATTTTAGTGTCAGCACTCCAGTGATTTCATTTCCTAACAGATTTTGAACAAAGTTACAAAGTTCAAGTATGAGAATATCTCAAATGAGTTCAAATTTCAGGGTTCCAAGGTCAAAGCCCAGGTCAATGTTACAGAAAACTTACTATTCATAGAATGTTTTCAACCAATTCAGTTACATCACTCTATCTACTTTTGTACTTCATTTCTTATATAGGACGTTGATCAGACTTAATTAATACAAATGTCAATGTATATCAAAGTTCAAAGGTCAAGACCAAGATCACGTTACTGTTTATACAAAATTTTGAATCACACTATAATTGGCATGGAAGCAGAGGCATTCATGTCTTACAGACATTTTCCAGTTATAAGATTTAAAAAAAATCAAAGACAGTGGTGTAACTTCTTTGCTGACATCATTCAGGAAGAGAGCGGTTTTATTTTTAGTGCTCAGTGAACTGTGGTGCTGGAGAGAAGCAGAGGACAGTTCAGTGTGTGGACGCCAGGGACAGACCTGTGAGGGCGGAGCTATGTGACTCCCCCACCCCCCGGGATGTGGAGACATGTAACCAGGGACCATGTGAACACCACTGGTTCTTATCACAGTGGTCGCACGAGGTATTGGAAAACTCTCATCCACAAGTTTTCTTTAATAATGTTTCCTGAAATAAAAATGATAATCTGAATGTGTATGTGATAGAGTGCAGGTGAAATCCTGGTTAGTGTCCAACAATAGTATTTAGATATACCCAAACTTTGTACACCTATAATTTCCTTCCATACCTGGTTTTGATCTATCTAAAAAGCAAAAAAGAAATCATGTCAAGACTTTTTACTTCCTTATGTGATTTTTGATTGAAATATATAATTAAGTGGTATATTTCAATTTTGGAGAGATATGAGGTTCACTCCGAAAATAAGTCTCAAGGTTAAAATAATTATTATGTATTCTTTTTTTCAACTAAATTTCTCTGAAGAAATCAAACAAAAACAAATCTAAATAGCTTGAGGAATTTATTAAAATGAAACTGATTATTAAATACCCCATGAAATATTTTTTATCAAAATAAATGATGGACCAGTAACCATTGTTTTCTCTGTTGTCTTATCGACAGTGTTCCAGCACCTGTAGTGGAGGAGTACAGACTCGGAGCGTCCATTGCGCCACCATCCGTGGCCACAAGGCCCTCGATGTCAGCTGTGGTCTAGACAGCCGACCTGCTGACCAACAGCAGTGTAATAATACCAGGAGCACTCGTTACTGTGGTAACAGCTGGTTTGCCGGCCCCTGGAGTCAGGTAGTGACATTATACATGTACACATGTACATCATTGTAAGGCATGTCACGATGTATTGAAACTTACATCATGTTTGTTATAATTGACTTAACAGCATGGCTTTTTTTTCATTTTTATATGCCCGTTAAATTTGATGGAAGTATTATGGTATGAGGTTGTCCAACCAGCAGGCGTAAACTTTTGTTTGTCCGGCAATCTCCTTCTACATTTTTCGACCGATCTCTTTGAAACTTGGTATACATTAGAATCATGATATGAAGTTGTGTCTCCTATAAAAGAATTTTGATTCGACAATTGTTTCAAAAGTTATTGCCCTTTGTTCATTTCATTATTTGATTTTTTGTCCGGAGATCTCCTCCTACATTTATTGACGGACTTGAAGAGAATTTTGATTCAACAATTTTTGCAAGAGTTATTGCCCTTTGTTTATTTTATTTCAGTATTTGATATTTGTCCGGAGATTTTCTCCTACATTTTTTATAGCATGTCAGTTAACCACTCTTAGAATGATGCAGATCTTATTTCAATGAAAGAAATTATATAACACTATATGACATTCCAGGGGCGTATATTGTTCTGCCCCACGGCACTCTTGTTGTTAATTTGATGACTTTTCCTCTGTGAGGGGAAGTGGAATCAGAAAACTTAATTTAAGCTCTTCGGTAAACTCTGCATAATCACAGATTTATATAAACAACTTTCCACGGTTTCAATTTGCATACACTAATACAGATTTTTTGTTACTAAAACCTATAAAAATGTATATCCTTGTTTATGATAGTTTTCTTTTCAAAACAAACTTCATCGCAATTGTGTTTATTTTCCAGTGTTCTACATCTTGTGGTGACGGTTTGAAGTCGCGCCATGTTTTGTGTCTGGAGGTGGATTCCAGTCACAACAGCCGGGCTGTGTCCCTAGACATGTGTGATAACCGTACTAAACCATTATCACAGGAACCGTGTCATCAGTCTTCCTGTGGGGCCCAGTGGCATATGTCAGAATGGACACAGGTAACTATAGTAAAATACCCAAAACACAAGAGTTAGCCCCCTTTGAATATGCTGGGACTAGTGTTCTGGCATGTTTGAAATCCTGGGGATAGGCTCACGATTGTAGATCTTAAAAAAACACAGAGAACATTACAGAATTTGAGGATGTTGTTTTAGCTTCATGTCTATATATGCATGCATGGTGACCTGATAAATCTAAACATTCAGAAAGTCTTTTAATTACAATATTTAGCTTTTTATCTCTATCAGCTAGGAGCGATTGTTGTGCTAGTGTGGTATGGTGTTGACTATTGCAAGGCATGATAAAATGAACAAAATGAAATTTTGGTTTTATGAACCCCCAAGGCAAAGTGAAGTCATCTTCAAAGTCTTCAATATAAATTTTACTTTATTGATATTTCCTTTTTTTCCATTCAATATCAATGATCCATATTATGAGGTCTAGGATACCAGGGAAATTTAGGGCTAGGCAGAGGGCAGTGGTGTTTTGCTATTTCCATATTTTGAACAACAAATTGAAGTTAACTAAAACAGAATTTGTGAAAAAGTGATAAAGGCTTAACTTTAAAAGCCATGAGTTTGCTTTACCAGCTATGAACTATATAGCTATAATAAACAACAGTTGATTTCCATACGAAAAAAGATAAATGATAAAACAATTTCACTCTCAGTTCCAATATTTTCGCTTGATTTTGTTCTTCAAGGGTGAATGTCAGCGATTGATTCAAGTAAGTCCTTGCCCAGGAGTCTGAAACATAGGGACTGCGAGTGATAATTGTTTTATATATAGCTATAGTATAGGACGCTTATATAATGATTCAACTTTCATCTCAAAAAAGAAATAATCAACTGTTTTAAGAAAGAATTGGAGTGGACATGCATAAACATGAGTGATGTGATTTAGATATATAATTTAGATAAGTCACCTTTTTACTCAAAACCGTGGCTGAATAAACATTTGACATTTGCAGTGCCCTGTGACCTGTGGCGAAGGCCAGGTGACTCGTACTGTGATGTGTCTGGACCGGAATAAACAACCCGTATCCAGCTGTGAACAGTCTGACCGCCCCACATCACGAGACACCTGTAATCAGCAAGCATGTATTGCCAGCCTGTCAGACGCAGGTAATGGAGGTGGGAATACCTGTACTTGACCCTTAATAACCCCATGCTCATTAATAGGCCCTGTTCTCCCCCTGATTCCACAGAGGAGGGTTACAATGTACACCTGAACACAAGCCCTTTCTGCTTATAGAATATAATTTGTTGTAATTATAAAGCCTTATAGACAATTTGCTCTCTTTCTGACGGGGCTTAAAACCGGAAGAAAAGCTGTTGGATGACCTCCATTAAATTAATATTTATATTTAATATTCCTGTTCTGTTTATACTTTATCTCTGAAGGTTTTACTATAAAGGAGGTCTCGTCTATTTGCTTTTAACACAATAAAATGGTTAACCAAAGTAATATGAAATTGTAGGACAGAGTAGAAATAATTTGTACAAATAACCTGAAAGTTTTAAAGTTGTCACCTTAAATAAACTAAATATTTAACAAAAATAAGTGTATCTGTTAGTCAAGATTACATAACCTGATATACCTTGGTAGTCCAAATTATTCTGACGTTTTATCGACTTTTTTCATATCGGTGTGTCATCGATTAATTAAATAATCGACGACAGACCGATATGAAAAAAGTCGATAAAATGTCAGAATAATTCGGACTAAGCCTGATACAGCTATATATAGCCATTTCTTATCTTATCTGACAACAATCATTATGAATGAACTGAAATTTTCATTTTTTAGATGTTACGCGTATGTTCAATGTCAAACATGAAATTGCAAACCAAATCAATTAGGCGTGGATGTAGGCATTTACCCCCAATATATTATTATTAAAAGTTACAACAAAAAGAAAGTCTGAAATTAAAATGGCACATTAAAACTGCTTTCTTTCCTGTTGTTTTTTCAGATCCATCCTGCAAAGATCGCTATGGTAACTGTCAACTGGTTGTGCAAGCTCGCCTATGTCGCTATGACTACTACAGACAAATTTGCTGTGCATCTTGTTATCCTGAACAAAAAGTCAACTGATCTATAGCTGATACGATAGCTGATATTAAACATACATATCTGCCTTTAAAGAGATTCCGCATTCCAGAAACAACTGTCGCCTAGCAAGTTGCAAGTTTGACCCCACTCAAGGTCATTCAACAAGTAGAGAGAGGACCTAGATTAGAGGACCTTTAAATAGGTCGCTGCAGGATAATTCTCAAGATTCATGTTATTTATAAGCTTGTTTGGGGGATAAGAATTAAAATGGTCTTCAGAAAGATTTGTCAATTTTTAGCATGAAATTAGCATGAGTGTGCAAACTAAAGGTGAATGCAAAAACAGTATAGAATCCAATTGTGTATTCTATAATCCCAAAAACGTTATTGCAGCATTTAATGATTTTGTGTAAATCACAAAAAGATTGGTATGTCCTGTGACAATGGTGGTGTTATTTTGTTTTGTCTGGATCTGGATGATCAATGTTTCTCGTTTTCAAATGTAGATGTCAATTATATAATACATTATAGTTATTATTGGATAAAAACATTTTGGTGACCTAGATTGGTGCTAAGTAATAAAAGGACCAACTTGCTTCTGCAATGCAAGTTATTGAATTGCTGAGGAATGTACATGTAAATTAACTTTGTACAGTGGAATATGCTAGATTGACAAAAGCAATTTAATCTAAATTTATATAAATGCATAGATTAGCTTTTCTGTTTTGTACAAAACTCCTGGATTATTATCTTATCAGCTTTATAATACATACTGCTGTGACATGCAAAATTATAAAAAACAATATTTATGCAATAACAGTAATAATACAGATGTTCATCTGTTTCCTTGACAATCAAAAAACTGCATTGAGAAACTTCTTGTGTTATAAGTACTGAAACAAGTATCTAATAAGTAGAAGATTTCCAATCTTTGAATGTTATGAAATAATTTCATGTTTGTATTATACAAACTACATGTTATGTATTGATTGGATGTTACGAAGACCATTTTGTATTGTCAGTCATATGACAACCACATGACAGTCATGTGACAATTTCGTCAATTGGCTTAATAAGTAATGTTTTTGTTAGTAAACATTCTAACTAAAATTTCAATTTTCCTTCTTTTTTTTCTGGGTTAAAGTGGTGATTAAAATCATTAAACATACAGTTTTAATTTTGAATTTATGAAATATATATTTTGTCAAGTTGTCATTAATGTATTAAGAGTTAAGCTAACCAGGCCTCAGGATCTGGAAATCTTTGTTATATTTAAGTAATTTAAAAAAAATTATAAGGTCAAGGAAAGAAAAAATGAAAATATTTAAATTGTACTTTGTCTATGCAATCTTGTGCATTATTGTTAAATTTATATAATTATTTGAAATTTGTGATTTATTTTTGATTTTCATCAGAGTTGTCCCTATTTACTATCACTTTGCATTGCCACACATCAAAGTGTGTACAGATTCAAATTGAGCTCCTTGGGCCATAATCGATACAAACATATACTATATACCCTGGTAGGTGAGAGATTCAGCAGGCCATATTTGTCAGGAGAATAAAAAACCGTCTGACAAGGTAAAAAATTGCATAACAGCATAATGTTTATGTAAATTGTACATGTATATAATTAGGAAGCTCGTCTGCTGTTTATTTTAAAATCCTGTCTCTTCTAGTTAGATTTTATAAAATGTTATCTTAACAATACTACTGTTACCATAATTACCCTTTCTCAGGAGCAGGGTCATTCTTAGAAGCAGGGTCATTTATAAGGTTCCTAAATGTGCCCCATCTTAGGAACAGGGTCATTTATTATCTTAGCATATATATCAACTGTACCCCATCTTGGAAACAGTTTTTTTTATAAGACTACCATGAGTACCCCTTCTAATTAGGAATAAGGTCTTTTATAAGGTTACAAAATTACCCGTTCTTAGGAACAGTGTTGTTTAAAAAGGTTGCCAATTTACCCTTTCTTAGGAATAGGGTCATTTACAAGGTAACCAAATTAGTCCTCCTTAGGAATAGAGTTGTTTAAAAGGCTACCAAAATAACCTCATCTTAGGGACACTGGGTCATGCTAAAGGTTGTCATTTATAAGGTTACATGTACCAAAAGTACCCCTTCTTAGGAACATGGTTATTGATAATGTTAATAAAAGTATCCCTTTTCGAATCTGGGTTATTAAGAAACGTAAGTGTGGCATGTATGTATTTTTATAAGGTGTTGATGAGAGGGAATGTTATATTTTGTTGACGAGAGAAGAATTTCAAATTAATCTTGATATTTTACATAAATGACTTTGTCACACTGTAAGAAATATAGTACAATGGAATTTCATTCCAGACCCACTTGCTGTTGGTGATGTTTGAACAATGGTTTCTGAGATAATCAAACAGTATATATTTCTTGCATTCAGGAAGTGATTTCCTGAACCGACCGAGATGGAAAGCAGATAATTATTACAGCATTAACAAGCTGCCAGTATAGAGACGTTTTAGAAGCTATACGTATAAATGTTGTACATTACATTATCTTATGTGTGATTATATGTATTATAGGAATATGCTCCATTTTCCCCCAGAAAACAAAGAGGATGTTTAGCACTGTGCCTTGAGATAGAATATATATTTGTTAGCTGTATAGGGTAGTCATATTTTCTGTATGTCTGTCCAACTGTTTCTTTCTCAAAATTTTCAGATGCTTTCTTCTTTTCTGGAGAAGGAGATTTTGCGTTTATCTTTAATTTGAGGTTATTAAGATTGAAAGAAAGGCCTAAAGCTACTGATTTCATGAAACAAAAATCTAAATTTTCAATGCCATAACTAAATTCTTAGGATTAATTAAACCATATTGTAGGTGACACAGAATTTTATTATAAAAATGAATTTCTGGTACTGTTTTGGAGGTCTTAATATGTTGGGTTAAATTTTAACTTTTGATAGTACTCAAACTTCATATATATGTAGATTGATGGTACTGGAGTTTAATTAAAGAAGGAAAGTACAATTATTACAATATGAATACAAATGTAATTTCAGTTTCTGTGCTATAGAGTTAGTTCCCTTATCCCTACGGTACAGAGAATAAATGATTGATTTTGAGATTGAACAAATGAGAGGTCAAGTTCATAATTGCTACATGTATTAATATAGAATGTCATGTCTCGCACACAGGGACTATTAAAAACATATGTCTGATATTGTCATACTGAATTTGAACATGTTCTATTATTGAAAAGGTATACTCCATGTACACCATATGTTTTATATATACATGTATTAAAGATATTAGAAACACAGATTATGCAAATTTATATCACAGAAAAAATTACAGAACAGTCATAATTCAATTGTTTATTTAACATTCAAATTTACAAACATTTTTTTAGAATGAGTTTGAAATAAACAAACTAAAAAATGAAAAAAAAATGTAATTGAAAAGAGCAATATTTGTTACAAGAGTGACTCTGAGAACACTGATTGATCATTTAGACTGGTTTGTTTTTGACTAGCTGTGTTAATTGATAAAGTACTGGTGTATATGAATAAGTTTAAACATGATTACATTAAACATTTGGTACAATAAATTAATTTCAATAACTGACATTTCACCATATTTATAGCCTACTAGTTTCAAATATAAACAAATGATAAAAACTATTGTTCGAAAATGGTAATAATATTTAATGTTATGAAAATAATTTTGATATATACACCATGTGTATAGATAATTGTAACCTGTTTTATGAAGGGAAGAATTACATACATTGTTGATCAAAGCAAGCTTTTGATATAGTGAGAGCTTATTAAAGGTTATACCTGTCACTGTTGGTGCGGCATATGTGTAATTACATGTCATATATACATAGAAATAAACTATTTTGTGTTACACATGACTTTGTTACTTATTTTACTATTAATGTAGAAGATCTTTCCATGTATTTATGTATAGGTTGGACGATATGTACATAGACAATGTTTTCAGTGTAAGTAAGGCACAATTGTTATTATCCTGAAACAGCCTATATTTGTCATACTGAATTTTGCTATCCGCCTTCGTCTGTCGTTGGGTCGCGCGTCGTTCGTTAACATTATACATTTTCAATCTAAGCTGAAATACTGTCAAAGAGATTTCATTTATATTTCCTGGGAATGTTACTGACATCTCCCTGACCAAGTATTGTTATTTTTCAGGTCATTCAGGAATCCAATATGGCCATCAATGCAGCCATTTTGAAAAAAAACATTTCAAACTTAAAGTCAAGTTCTAATGGGGGATTTAACTGTCATGAAACCTTGTAGGAATGAACGACTCATGGTCCTGACAAAGTGTTATTTTTCAGGTCCATCAGAAATCAAATATGATCACCAATGCCGCCATTTTGAAAAGAAAAACTTTTTTAAACTTAAAGACAAGCTCTAGTAGGCCAATTTAACTGAAAACTTCTAGGAATGAATGACTTAAATGGTTCTGACTAATTGTTGTTATTTTTCGGGTCCATCAGAACTCCAATATGGTCGCCAATGCTGCCATTTAGAAAAAAAACATTTCAAACTTAAGGTCAAGTTATAAAGGGCAGATTTAACTGCAATTTGGTAGGAATGAACGACTCATGGTCCTGACAAAGTGTTGTTATTTTTCGGGTCCATCAGAAATCCAATATGGCTGCCACGGCCACCATTTTGGAAAACTATTTCAAACTTACAGTAAAGTTCTAATGAGCTGATTTAACTTGAACGTTGTATGAATGATCGACTTATAGCCACCACGGCTGCCATTTTGAAAAACTATTTATTAGGTCAAAATCACCATTACTATTAATAGAAAATTGTCAAACAGTGAGATACGTTTTCTGTGGAAAATGGCACTCATGTGTTACACACTTCTCTAGTTTTACTCACACTTGGTAGTAATAGTTGACTTATGGACCTCGCACTGTTGGAATACATTTTTAGCTCACCTGGTCCGAAGGACCATGGTGAGCTTATGTCATACCACAGCGTCCGTCAACTTTTCCTTTAAAACGCTACTTGTCCTGAACGACCCTGTAGATTTTGACTTAATAGGCCAAGGGCTCTCAATTTTGTATAAACGGTTGGTGTTGCCCCCCTGGGGGCCGAGGAGTGGGGGGCCGAGGAGTGGGGGCCAGTAGGGGAAATAGAGGTAAGACCGTTTGAATCTTTCTTCTACCTNCCCCCCCCCCCCTTGGGTCAGAGAGGCGGGGTCCAATAGGGGAAATAGAGGTAATAACTTTAAAATCCTTCTCTTACGGTAGAGATAAAGGGATTTTATCCAAAACTGGCTTGGAGCATCCTTTGGCCAAGGGAACTCAATTTTGTATAAACGGTGGATGTGGGCCCTTTGGATGCAGATGGTTAGGGATCAAAAGGAGTATTGGAGGTTTAAATCTTCAGAATCCTTCTTCCTCTGTATTAATGGTGGGATTTTATCCACATTTGGCCTGGAGTGTCCTTTAGCAAAGGGGACTAACTTTTGTGTAAACAGAGGGTGTGACCCCTCTGGATGCAGAGGGGCAGGGATCAAAAGGAATATTGGAGGTTTAAATCTTCAGAATCCTTCTTCCTCTGTATTAATGGTGGGATTTTATCCACATTTGGCCTGGAGTATCCTTTAGCAAAGGGGACTATCTTTTGTTTAAACAGAGGGTGTGGCCTCTCTGGGTGCAGAGTTGTGGGGCCCTGTAGGGGAATTGAATTTTTAAATCATTAAAATCCTTCTTCTTCTGTCCAATTGGAGGAATTTTATCCAATTTTGGCCTGGAGCATCCTTGGGCAAAGGAGACTAACTTTTGTTATTTACCTGTCTTCTTTTTTAAGTTTTCATGGAGAGAAAACTCCCAAAATGTTAGATTTTAAAAATGCCTTATTTATGTAATACTCTAATTCAATTTTAATTTTGAAAGAAGGTTTAGGAATAATGAAATTATCAGTGGTGAAAAAGGAAGACTACATCCCAAAAGTCGGAAGGGTTGACAGGTATCATATATGCTAGCCCGAGTTTCCTTTGGCCCTGACACCAGACTTTGACATTTTGACAGATAAATGTACCACACCAGACATCTTTATGTGAAAATGTTTAAGTCTGGGTTCAGGGCCAGAGGGAACTCGGGATGGGCTACATGTATGCTATAACCTGGAAACGTATTTAAGACGTTCTCCCTCCAGATTGTATAACTTTCACCAAGTATGACTAGCAACGCTGTAACAAAATATTTATCCAGGTTTTGTATTTAATGATGTGGAACCCGACGTCATATTGGAATCCTCATAAAGGTTACGGAATCAGATCAAAGCAAGATATCATTGATTCATTTTCACTGAAATATCGTTCAGGTCTGTACACAGGTTATCTCCCTTAGACCATTTTATGCGGTCGTGATTTAACCTTCGAACACATATTTTTTGAATTAAGGTTAAATGTCACCTTAAACATTATACCTTAAGGAGATATGCCCGCCAATATACCTACTACTACCTCCAAGGGAAGTGCCAGGTAGAAATCACATTCAATGTATATTTTTGAATTGGCTTACACTTGTCTAAGGCTAGTTCATGTAACGTTTGTTGTCTCGGGCATTAACTCTCTCGTCATCTCCTGCTCCAGTGTTCTACATGTTCTACAGGGTCCTTATAGTGTGTGCTCTTTGTCATGTACAGTCTGGTCATCCCTTCTAAGTTTTCGCTGACAATGTCGATTTAATTGATGTGTCACCTTTGTGCGCCGTCTGTACGATTCCAAGTACTGACCATAGGTCGGTGGTTTTTCTCCGGGAACTCCGGCTTTCCTCCACCAGCAAAACCTGGCACGTCCTTAAATGACCATAGCTGTTAATAGGACGTAAAACACAAATAAACCAAACAAAACTATCATCTATTCTCATCTGTATTCTTCACTTCTCATCCCGAAACTTCTTTCTGCAGCTATTTTCTGAAGCTGTTCGATCTCTACCGTTCACATACTTTGTGGCCCTGGGTATTTTTATTGTGTTAGTTGGCCTTTAAAACGATAACTAGTATCACCTGTTCTCTTTCTAGCGCTTTCATCGTTTCTCCTCAACGTCACCCTCCTCGTCCTCACGTCTATTTTGGTATTTATATTTTTGATTTTTATTCCGTTCTGGATATTATAGAAAGCAGCCCCATTCTCTTAATTCTCTTAAGTGTCGTCATTTATAGTTGTGTATGCCTGTATGACGTGTTTCTTTCCTCTTTGCTGCTAAGGAATCTCACTGAGTGGTGTAGGAGTTATGTTATTTGGAACTGCTGTGTCATGGTCATCGCTACACTACATCTGTTGATCTTGATTGCCTGTTTTGGGTTTAGCATCTTCTCATAATCAATGGCATGTGATGACGGTTGCTTAGGGAGATACAAACGAAAAAGCATGAGCAAGTTGGGAAGTGAGAAAAGTAAGGATACAGATCACAATTGTTGAAATAGGGGAAGCAGATCAGTTTGATTTCTTATACGTCCCTTTAGCAGAAGGCAGAGAAGAAAAAAACCCGACTCTGCAGATGGGTAGATGTTTGTTCTATTCTTTCGCTGAACCTTCAGGGGTATGAATATCAATGATGCTAATCCTACCAAAGTAACAATAAATATACCGTGAATTGTGCTGATATTAATATTCATACCCGAGTATACACGTACCCGCTATTCCTATCAAAGCAATGCCGTACTTCTTTATCTCTTTAATCGCTTGACCTGTTCGATCATCCTATCACCATTGCTCATTTGGAAATGAAATAGAGTTTGTGGGAGCGACAATTTAGCTTTCATAATCCCTCGCCATACATTTAATGAATAAGAGCTCTATATCTGTCCACTCGAATATTTTGATTTATTGACACTGTTTCGATTTCCGTAGCAAAGTGTATTTTACGTGGCGAGGTTGCTAAGTTTGCCTCACACACCACCCTCCACTTCGTCCTGTCTTTGGACGGTGTACTCTTCCTTCGGGATCATCTAGTGCAGCTCTTGAATGGACGGTAATCGTAATAAATCCGGCTTTCCAGGTTACTTATTACGGTATGGCAGGTTCCCAAAGGTTATTGGACCGGAAAAGTCTTACTCTCCGGAGTACTTGTTTTCACTTCCGGTTTATGTCTTTCTTTTTGTTTTGTCTCTCGGTTCCTCCTTTATGTTGTCTTTTCGTATCGATAACGATTTCTGATTTCGTTCACGTATGTGATTTGATGCTTTGGCACAAACATGCGATAGTCTATATTATTTTACTTTGACATCCGCATAGATTCTCTAGCCATAGAGGGAAGACTTTGTTCCAAGTGGGATTTGTTTTGCACTCGAATTTGACAAGCTGAATAAGATGATATAAGTGTGAAACAAACCAGTTGGATTTCGATACAAGCTGGAACACTAGAAAACCAAAGTAAGTGTGGTAAACTGCAGGCCGCTATGCGTGCCGAAATTATTTTAAAACATTTAAATGTATTATTATCTCTTTTCAAATAGACCTTTATCCCAGAGTCATACACACTTTGAATGAATGGGTCTCTATTTTGCACCTAAATGTGCACTGTATTAAATTATATTTCACTCTAAGTTAATCTGAATTTGATTGGAATCGCATGTCCATGAATAAATTTAAGGCTAAATAAATATACCAGACAACTCAACGTTGAAATTTGAAAGATCCGGTCTCAGCTGCGCACATGTAGACACAAATCGATGCTGTCTACTCAGATTGAACATAAACTATACCGTCCTGTTGATTAAATGTCTAACCAATTACGTAAGGGAGAGATAAAACCAGCACTGTTTCTTTACCCGTAGATTAAAGCTTGCATGTATCTGCAGGTTTTGATACCGTGTAGGTACCTGATAATTGCTATGACTTATACTTTATTT